CGTAATGTCAAGTAAGAACAGTCCATCATACTAATATTGCTTAAATTTGCAATTTAGCTTTATAACATCCTATCAAAACAAATAGAAACAATCAAAATGTCGGATATAATTATTTGTGAAGAAAAATGATTATATATACGACTAAATAAAAACCCTTTTAAATGTTCACATTCGAAGAGCAATATTTAAATATTCAATACTCTCCTGAAAGAAAGTGGTTTGTGTCGAGTTGGCTAACACAAAAAAAAAAATGTATTAATGTGAAAACATTTCTTAAACTCTTTTTAAATGAATTAGTTTGGCTCATTCACTACAGAGGTGTGTAATCTAGCCTTTTGCAGGCCACAAAACCACGACAATAAGTTTACGCTTGAATTAACTTGGTGACGCCAGAATAAAAGTGACCCAAACTAAGTACAGACCGATTACGCTGGAACCCCTATGACAAACTGGCTGCTTATTATTTAGCGAGCTAGGACCGTGGGTATGATAAATCATGATTGTCTATAGGAAGCTATGTTGGTGGATCAGATGTCTGGCACAAGTGGCAGCTTGTAAGTCGTCGGGCAGTAAAAATGACAGTAGCGAAACTTGATGGGAAATAAGGGGCACTCGGGAAGCGGAGTAGAAGAATATTTTACGATCCACCCACAATATGAAGTCGTAAAGTTGGAAATTTTTGCTTCCTGCTGCCGCTGGGTCTGCACTTTCCTATAGTTTTTAATAAGGATTGGTAAATGTTTGGGATGAAAGTGGCAAGGAATTTGTACTAGACCCGCTGAGCCAAGCTGAGCAGCCATACGAGAACGATGATGACGATGATACGGCTCGCAGCTCGTTATGACGCCCCGTACAAAATGGCATACTAGCGAGTCTATTTTTTATGGGAAAACAAAGAAAGGCGTCGCTGAAAATATGACAGCACGCAAAGATATGGGAATGCGTCGTTAAATTGGTTCGAGGGGTTTGGTTAGATTTCATAGGAGGCCACAACATACACTGAGTCATAACATTGGGAGGTTACCAATTGGTATCAGGCTCTAAGCATTCTTCAATTTTCGTTAATTGTAATGGCTTTTATAAATTCCTTTGGGCCGCGCATAGGCTAGCAGATAAAATAACAAATATCCCGAACAAAATTGTTTATTCTCGACTTTCTTTTTCACAACAAAAGTCGCGTTGGAAATCAAAAACTTTATTTTTTCCTTTTACTGGCATAATTGTGGTTTCCAATAAAAAGGATATTGACTTTGATTGTTACGGTTTATTTTACCTAACCTAATCCTCATTTATCAATAAGTGCAACAATTACCGAGGATTCAACAAATTTCATTTACAAACAATCTGCAAATTTCAAAGCACTTAAATAACAAATTTGTAGTTGCGGTTAATATGTTTAAGCCCAAAAAAGAATTTATTGAAACTCTTATTTGACTATAATGTCCACCTTGGATTAAAAAATGCTTAAAAAATAAGCAGAACCAAAAGAAAGGTCACTGGCATTAGATCTTGGTATTTAAGAATTATCCAACAATCGCCCAGAAAGACGCCACATAAAACTGTATTGGCCTTTGGTAAAACAATAATTAACTTAGCATGAGCAACATTATCACTATGGACGGCAGTTAAATAAATACATATAAAGCCGCAGAACTGAAAATCTGCTGTGATGGTCCGGTCATCGAGTAATTCATTAATCTTGAAAGAAAATGGCGTAAATGCCAAGACGGTAAAAATGGAATTTATTCAGGAGAAAGGGTAGTGAAAGTTGCACACCATATATATTTTTAATTGGATCTCTTGGGTCCGGTTTGGTAAAATGCTCCATCTTGTTGAAAGTACACGTTGAAAGACGCACTACTCTACTTTTCAAAACAGAAATTTTTGAGCATCTGTTTGTCGGTTTTAAAAAAATTTAAGGGGCCAGGTCGTTAGAAAAAACATTTGTTCGGCGACAAACAAATTTGAGCTATATGATATAGTCGTCCGGGTTTGATGAAATTTAAACCACAATTCTGAAATACTTAACCATTACTATCAGGCATATTCCTGTTTTCACTCGGAAGTGAATTCGTTAAATTGGCGTATTTCCCTTTAACATAATCAAAGTTTCCGTGTATGCTAGCAAATTTCCTAGGAAAATTACTATTACTACTAAAACAGCTGACTGTAGCTACTGCTCTTAACAAAAGCCTTTGATTTGCCTAAGTTTTCCAGGCAAATCTTTGATCAACGATAAAAAAGTCCCAACACAACACGATTTGGACAATAAGTGCATTAAATTAAGGGATAATAAGAACAAAAACACATAAATAATTTACACTTCTAACCATATAAAAACAAACCGAAAAGCGTTTCCTAAAATAAAAATAACTAAAATAAAAACCCTTGCTTTGTTTCTATCAAACTTGTTCGGAAACTAGAAAAGGGCGGCGGATTTTGCAGTAGGTTAGAACCGGACGACTATAAAATAAAGCTCCCATAAAAACAATACAAATATAATAAAATATTTTTTAAAATTCTTTTTGACTTATTTATAATTTGACAGTTACGCTTTTAATTTTATTCAAATCGGAAAACGCTTTCATACAGCTGTAATCGGAACGATCGAATATTTGAGCTGAAAACATCACAGCTTCAATTTTTTTTTACATGTACGCATATAAATCGAAATTTAAGTGTTTTCAAGAATATTTAGTTTTTGCAAGGTATATAAACTTCGAATTGCCGAAGTTTGCTTCCTTTCTTGCTTTTAGTTAAGCTCCATAGTCTTCCCAAACGTAGTTTGTTACAGAAACTATGTACTAAACTACAGCTAAAAGTTATTTTTTGTAAAGATGCAATCTGGACGCTGCGATGGGCAAAAAGTTTAAATACCAGGTTGAAACGGTTCAAATGGTGTTTTCTTTTGAAAGAATAACAGTCTTAATTTCCAAGACAATAGCACAAAATTTCAGGTACTTTAATAAATAATTGATGAATATCTGCCACATAAAATTATTTTTAATGCATACAGGGTTGGGAAAGGTACTCATTTTTTGGTTCTAGATGAGGTATAAGGTATTTAAGAAAATAAGTAAAGGATACATAATTTTTCAAGTATCTAGTTAAAAGTACAAAAAAAAATAAAAATACAATCTTTTAATTACATTTTTTTAACTTAATCATTTTGAAATCAAAAGGTTCTTCCTAAAGTTGTAATTAATTTATATTTTGTCTTCGCTTTGGCAATTAATTCTGGTTGTAAAATCATATAAATAGAAACAACATTACATCTGGCATATGCTGTGGAATTAACTTATCATCAAGATGCAGTCGAGGTACGATATTTGGTATTAGCATATAAGCAAAAAATAATACAAAATTTAAATTAGTGGTATTAATCTTTTTTAAAAACAACTCATAACATAGCCTATTCTGAAGATAAATAAAAATCTTTACACAGATTAGGTAATAGGTAGACGATATTTTTTTTATCTATGTAAGGTATAATGTAACAAACGTTGTGCCTAGTTAGGTATCTAGGCAAAATAATCTAGATGAACCCCAACTAGAAAAAAGGGAAAAACGGGACAAACTGTATTCTTTAATTTTACGTATAACCAAATAAAGGGTTAACCACTAGTTTGTATGGCTCTAGAGCATGGAAGATATAAATGAGTTTTTAATTAAATAAAAGTGGTTAATTGTTAAAATAATTTCACCACGCTGTACAGCATGCGTTTTAGTAAGAAATAACATAGCACATTTTAAAAGTACAAATTTTTTGTATCAATATGTAGCGACCGAAATTGTTGTATATTAATTTTTTAATACAAATCCACAGAAATTTTTCAATATAACTTGAATAAATATGCTAACACTAAACTGTATACTTAATAAAAATAAGGTGCAAAAAGACCTTCCAGGTTCGCAGACTGCTTTATTGCTGATTCATTTTAGTCGTGCTTGAAATTCATGTGTTTTTGTTTATTTTTTACTCTCATTGGTAAATATAATAAAACAAAATTTATGAAACCCGGGTTTTCACATTTCTGGTTATTATTTTGCTAATTTAGGTCCAATTGAAAGGTATGAAGGGTATTGAGAAAATATTTTTTTTAAATTTTTTCAATTCAAAATTTTGTTAATCGGACTTAGTCAAATATAGCACAATAATAACAACTTATACTTAAACATGATCTGAAAGCTTACTTCACTAAATCTTTTTAGGAGGTATTAGCTACTTTAAGCGATCTTATATTTTAGTTAAAGAAATCTCTGATAAACTAAAGGTCATAAAGATTAGGTTGGAACGTTGATGTACAGTACCTCGGATACAAAAATTATAAATGAAATTTAGAAAGGATAAAAAGAATTTACTTTCAGAATTTCACAATTTTATGTTATTTTAAGAAATTTGACTTCCCGTTCAAAATTGAGTCTTTTGCTTAAGTTAGATTATTAAATCTAGGAATTTCTTGTCTTTCTTTAAAGAAAAACTTTTTCATATTTAGTAGATAGAATATTTCATATTAGTTTCTACTGCGCATAAAACAAAACGGAGCTTAAATATTTCAATAAAACTCAATTCTTTGGCATCAAACCCTCTCACATATCGGTTTCTTTTGTTTACATCGCTCACAATTGAACCATAAACACTTTTAAGCTTTATAGTGTCCACATTTACACGTCGCCATTGCCTACCCACAGTATCCAAAAATTCTCCATCCCAGTCCCACTGCGATTCCTGCAACTTCATCGTGACGTGTTTACTGCTGAGAAGCAATGTTAAGCTGTTTTGGGCCGGAGTAAGGCAGCTACCTGGTTGCGTACTAGAGCTGTGTATCCCCAGCTGGCAAAGCTTAAACCGCATCGTGGATTTTGACTCACACACTTACAAAAATTGTTTGAGCAATCGCTTTTATTTCAAATATAAATTTGTTTAAAAAATTATTAACGTTAATAAGCAAACAAATTTAATTGGCTTTGAATGAAGTAAAAATTAAGAAAATGTTTCACCCCTATTCTGACCCATGTCATATTAACTTTGTTAGTTGCTTATATATTATCTTTCAAAATCATTGAAAAATTTTGGTAAGGCAAAAAATAATTTGTGCGGCTGAGTATTTGCAATTTCCCAGAAAATATTTTCTAAGTGCAGGCCTTGGAGCAGCGGTGCTGGCAATGTCGTAAATTTTTTGCATGCATTTTTCGGTTTAATGATGCATTTACGATCCCAGCAGCAGTGGCGACACAAGTAACTCCCAACTCCGGGCTCTGCCCGGACCCGGCAAACTTCATCTGAAGGTGCTGGGATGTGCAATGGTAATGGATTCGTGAAATGGCAACAACTTGAAAAGCAATCGTTACAATTTTTAATGTCATCAACAAAACAAACAACAGCTGATGCTTCCATTTTAGTGATACCCCGATTTCCGGGATTTCTCGGTTTCCATTTCATTATTAAACGATGAGCCTTTCTTATCAACACTTATTTTGTTTAAGGAAAATAGTTTATTTTTTGACATTTCAGGTTTATCCTTTTTATAATATTCCGTTGGGCTAAGTTTTACTTAAGTTGGTAACAATATTTTACAATGTGAATGAGTAATATTGTTGTTATTAAAAATTACAATTAGAGTTTCGCAAGACATCGATAGAGTTAACCTAAATATACATATAATTAATTTGTGCACCATCTCACAACAATTTGACACCGAGACCCACAGAAAATCTGCATTCATTATTTCAAGGGTTTCTTTCCAAGTACTTTGTCTAGGAATAAAATTCACATGTAGAGAAGAAATTTGAGATTTTGAATGAGTCTACACGTAGTTTTCTCCCCGACCCCTATTGAGTGCAATTAAAAAAATCATCATTTGTACTTGGATTCATTTAAGCTATAAAGTAAGTGAAAAATAAAATAAATGACTGATGTGTGGCGCTAAGACGGTTAATTGTTTAAAGCAAGACTTAAATAAAGTGAAACTAAACTAAACTATACAACCAATGTGCGGATTTGTGATGCGAACGTGTTGAAATGTTGATCGTTGATTTGGCATTGGCATTTTCGAAAACGGTGGAAAACTTTAAATAGGTATTTTCGATTATTTTAGTTCGTTGGCGGCAAGCGTTTGGTTGCAAAATGATCCATTGGGGGATTGTTGATTGAAGAGAAGAGAATGTTGATTGATGACTGGCGGCCAGACTTCTCATCATGGGGTAATGTTGATTGAAGAAAAGCGACGTGGGGACCGGCGGCATAATCGACATATTTGGCTTGTTGATTGAAGATAGTCCAAGTTGCGCTTTAGCTTACCGATAAATTCGATATATGTACAGAGGATTCGTTCTTAAAACCCTAAGTTACTCAACTTTAAGATACGAAAGTTAAATTCGCGCGATTTCACCGAAGCTTTAAGCTAATATGTGAAGCTGAACAATTAATATCAGGGCAATATTCGTTACTTTAGTTAATGAAAAATTATCATCCACATTGCCGCGTTGTGTTGCGTAGCTCACCCCCGTCATAGATATTCAAATTATGCTGACGGGAGTACTCATTCACAACGTATTGGCCTGGTTTAGATCAGATCGAAACACATTTGGTATTGATTATGCAATTGTATTTTCACAGCAAGTTCGGTGGTAATATGGTGGGGGAATTGGGGGAATAACACCTCTTATCAGTTGACTTACCCTCTTCAATACGCCGGGAAGCCTCTTCAATGTTGGCGTCTGCATCCTTCAATATCACATACATGAGCGGCATAAGCTCCCACGGATAGCGGAATTTCTCTAGTAGCTTTTGGCAATAGTCTAGGAAAACGTCTTGGCCTGAAAAGCAAAGGCAAAAGAAAAAGTTGTAAGTTTTTCACTCACATTGAACACACGTAATGATCTGCAATCGATCTAATTATTAATTTCGCAACTAGCTTCATTGGCAAATTGCGTCCACATAAACAAACAATTCGGCTTGTGAAGCCCCCATCAAAGTGAAGCCACTCTTTCTTGAGTTTCGCCAGTCTGCATAAGTGCTTCATGAAAAACAGGCAGACATCGAAGTGTAATGTAAACAAGGCGGCAAACACGTCGGCACAAATTGCAACTAAATACGGGGAACCCATTGATATTAAATAAGAATATAAACGAGAACCGAAGCTGACCTCGGCAAGCCGAAGTTTTGATACCCTATCAGTCAAGGCATGGATTTCAAATGATATGAAACCATCTTAATAGGCAAAAAGAGAAACATTCGCATTTCCGATAGTGCCTGTCGCAGTCATCCGTTCGGCATGATTTTTGACATAATCAGAGTACATATAATACAAGAAAGGAAGCAAACTTCGTCAAGCTTAAGTTTGTTTAATCCGTTTTTAATAAAATTATTATGTTAAGTACATTAATTTTAATTGAAAAACAAAGAAGTTATAAGTTTTCTCATTTATTTTTCCGACTTTTCATATGCGAGCTTTATAGCAGACTTTTGGAAAAGTTTAATTAAAATAACTTTTAAAATGAAAGGCCAGTTTGCGGAGAAACGAACGAGAATCACTGCTTTGCAAAGTTTATACTGACATACCTATAAATATTTCAGCTATAGGAGGTAGTTCACTGATTTTCATAGGGCTTAAGTGTTAGGCAAGAAAATTTTTATTTTATAGGTTGGGAAAAGTCTTCTTTGCTGCGTTAGAAACTTGCGACCATTATATAATACCCCTTAAAGGGTATATAAATACCCATTGGCAGTGAAAAGTACAATTATCAACTAAGGGAGACTAAGCAAAATGTTCTAGATTCTATACATAATATTAATATACCTTGGATCACACTTCTAAAATATCTTTTTTGAACATAACATTAGAGGTCAAATAGTTAACCAAGAAACTTATATTTTGTAATTAAGGGTAAATTTTCCTGATTTTAGTTTGTAGAGAATAGATTAAAGGTTATACATAAATACGAACTTCTTGTAGTCGTAGCCCTTTAAATGTATGTTTATCCATTTACCTGATGTGTTTATTTTTTCTTGTTAACTTGACATTTATGTTAAAACGTTAAATTAACATTTAAATTGTTAAAAAAGGCTTTTTAGAGTGTAACGTTTGTTTCCATATTTGTTACGTCCGCTGGTGTTGCCTGCCTCTTTTCTCTTTCTCTCGCCAAGCTTATGCCATTATGCTCTTCGCATCGCCAGCCATTTTTTTGTTTTTTCTTCTTTTTACCTACACACCAACAGCAACCGCACGGCAGCAACAACAGCAGCAACAACAACAGCAACAACAACAGCAACAACAACATTGGCCCGTCGTCGTCATCGTTGTCGGTAGTTTCGTTGTAGGCGGAGCTTCATATCCATTGGCCCGTTTTATTATGGCTCTCTGCTGGCTGCTCCTTAAATGCGGCCGTTGGTGTTGCTGGCGTGCAAGAGTTGGTGTTGGGGCTGATGTTGCTGCTGCTGCTGTTGCTGTTGCATGCAACACCATGTGCTGTTGCAGGGAGATTGTGGTGCAGGATTTGCATTGGCGCACTCACTTTGCGTGTGCGAACTTGACTTGAAACACGTTTTCGGGAACAGCTCTACTTCCTGTTGTTGTGGCTCTTGTTTTCTGCTACTTTTACCTGAGCGTTGCCCACATGCTCGTTCATCTGGGCACGTTGCACGAACATTTGCCGTACTGTCTGCGCCTTTTTAATTTAGTAATTAAGCCATTAGTGGCCTGACCATTGTTGGGGTGCTGTTTTGTTAGCATTTTATGCTTGCAAATTATTTTATTGGGCGCAAATAAATCTAATAAATTGATTTATTGCTGCCGCAACCGCAGCATGACCATGGCAATAACTCCCAAACTATTTTACCAGCCCTATTCGCTTTGGTCTGCATATTACATTGGATCAGCCGTGCGATTGGATTAGAAGATTTAAATAAACATTCTCTCCAATTATAAAGATAAATACACATTAAGCTTTAGTTTGTCAGAAAGTTAATCAAGCCTTAATTTGTTGAAAAACAATGTGGAATCACAAAAAGTCAAGATAGCCGCAATTGAGGTAATTTTTCTAGTTTTAAAAAGCAGTAGAAAAATTATGAAAATTTATTTTTTTTTGGCAGCATATGTATTAATAATTTTGCGAATTATTTAGATAACTTAAATTTCAACATATAATTCGTATTATTCTTACTTAATAGTGTTAGAATAGTGTTCCAGTTATACAAAAAAAAAAGGAAACGCTTATGATATGTAATCCATATGTAATCTTACATATAATATTTAAACATATTTACAAATAATTTATATCATTTTGATATTAATGAGGCGCGTGCAATAATGTCATGTCTAGACAATTAGCGCTGATCTAAGTATAGAAATTATTTTAGAGTAATGAAATTAAAACTTTCCATTAAATCGGCAACTACAGTTTCTTACATGGTATTCGGTAAAAGTGTGGCCGGAACATGCATGTCAAATTGAATCCAACATTTATTTAATCACCGAACATTTTAGTCACTTTAAGCGCAATCCCAAATAAAACACACATTACACAATATTTATATAAACGTTCGGGAAGCGTTGGTAACGCCCACTTGGCACGAATACTCTGCCCGCACGAAAAGCTGCAGCTGTCGCTGTTGCATGTACTGCCCCATGTACACGTGGATCCGCTCGGCTAGATGCAAGTCTATATGCATGTACAGTTAGCCAGTAAACGATGCCATTAACGCGCATAAAGTGACTCTGCGCAGGGCCATGTGGCAGGAGAAATGGGTTCAGAAATCCCGGCTCCATATACCGCCTGTACATGGGGCACTTGTGCTATATGTGCGGTCTGCAGGGGTGTTGGTGTTGGTGCTGGTGCTAGTATTACTTTTATTACTGTCCAAACTGCAGCTAACCTTCCACTCGGCAAACTCCGAGTCCTCGTTGCCGAGGTCCTCGTTGCCCCAGCTCCTTTGGCAGCGTTTAAGTCGTTAGCAAAGTTTTCTTGCTCGTTTTTCTGCGCCTTTTATGAGTTTGTTGCTGCAGCACGAAGCTGTTTCTCGCTGTTTCTCACTGTTTCTCACTGCTCCTGCTGCAGCTGCTCAGCCAGCACAGTTTCTGGAGGAGGTTTATATATCCTATATATATAGTTCTTTGCACCAATTGGCAGCCATTACATGGCTAAGGCATCTGGCTCGGCAGCAATCGTAAGTTCCCGTCTTTTTTCGACGGTTTTATGCACTTATCTAGACGCTTTTACTACGCAGAACTCATTTATTTATTTCTAAGATTTTAACACATATATATTTAAAATTAAAAATATTTTTATTAAAGTGACTGATGTTTGTGGTTTTTATGAAACATCATATTTTAAATTTTAAAGATAATTATTTTCTTAATGCCTTGTATTCAACAATGTTAGTGATTTGAATCTAAGTTTAAAATTTACTTTGAGAGATAAAGGCTGTAATAAAATAAATTAAGCTTCCAATCTTTAAGTCGCTATAACATCAAATCGCTCGCTAAGAAAGAGAACCAAATAAGGTTTTGATTAGTTTCTATAAGCGCATTAAGAATCCGAAGTTATATTAAATATAAGTTAGTTGCATTTCTGTAAAGCAGATATCGAGATCTACTTGATCCTTAAAGTATGTATGAACATATTTCTTATCAACATCACCAGGCAGGTCGAAATCAGACTGTTGATCGGTTTGTCAATATGTCTATTTCAAAGTTAATCGCCTTCTCCTATGCGCAAGCAAATTGGGCCTTGTTTATAAAACGATTAAGTTAATTTATCCAAACATTTTTTGTATGATTTTTATTATTAAAAATCGTTCATACTGAACGTATGATGCAGGCGGAACTTACTTATTACTTTTATAAATAATACATTTTGGTGTAAGTAAATCTATTTAAAGAATTATATTGAATTTATTTAAGCAAATGTTGCAAGCAGTTGTTCCACGTTGTTATAGCTCTTTCGGATTTAAATTTTTGTTGCAATTTTAATAAATTAAGGTTAGGTATTTTTTCTCATTTTTAATTGTTTGGTATCAACTATAAATTAAAGTTTTTTCTTAAAGATTGCTTTATCCACAGCCGAAGTACAAATAATTTCCAGATAAAATGCAATCATTTTGCAGCGCGAATAAAGCCAAGACCCTCTTCGTGTGGAGCACTTTGACATCGTGTTGTAAAATTAACTTGTGCAATAAAGAATGAAGCACAGCGAGATGCTGGATAAATATTTTGATAAATTTTCGTGCGCTTTGCAGCTGGATAGAGCCTGGCTACCAAAAAGATGAGGAACAACTGTATATTTCTGTGAATATCTGCAGATCTGTCCCATCGGCATCGAGAGCCGTGAGCAACGGAGGAAAGTCGTAAAACGTAACAACAATAAAAAATAATAAATCGACATATCCACAAAATGGCAACCCAAAGTGCTCAGTATGCACAGAAAGGAGTAAGTAGCAGGCAAATGCCACCAGAAGGATGGCGAACTGATGGAATCCTCTTGCACGGGCAATGTGGCAAGTGAAGCAAGCATCGGAATATTGTGCGCTATAAGCGGACTATGGACTACGGATTAAGGACTGAGGAGCAAAAAATAAGGAGCAGGGGACGGGAGTAATGCAAATGCGAGCTGAGCAGACAATATAAAACCTTTGAAAACGGAAAGGAAATAGAAAGGAGCAGAAACAGCGTTTTAATGAGCAAACGCAGATGTGATTAATTCGCAGGAGTTGGATGGTGTTTTTAATTTTTTGGAGTGGAAGCGAATGGAATGCTTTTCCGTATTCACACAGTTTTGAATTATTAACTATTTTTGATAACCAAAATATTATTATTAGT